GCCGTCCCCTTCCTGCACACAGACTGGGACGGGCTGGTCCCTGCTTCAAAGGCAGCGCGTCCCACTGTAGAGCTGCAGTTGCCTCTCTCTCTGCTCTCGCTTCTGCACTCTGACATAAGAAAGAACTTCCAGCAAGACACAGCGTCCGGCAGAACAGATTTCAAAGCTATATTCTCCTTGGGAGGTCATCAGTTATTTGCCCCAAATTGCTCAGGTGGTTATTCTGTTTCAGCGTTGTTGCATGGGGATGACCCCCAGCACACAGGAGTGTGATGAGATTTAACTGGAATAACGGAATAGGTAAGGGTGTCCCTTTGGGCAAAAAAAATCCAGGATGCCCGGTTACATTGTAATTTCAGATCAACAATGAATGAGTATCAGATGCTTGTGCAACATTTGAGATATACTTTATTAAAAAATTATTAGCTGCTTATTGGAGATTCCAATGTAACTGGGTCTCCTGTCTTTTGTCTGGGGAATAGCACATTGCCTACACTCTACATTATTCTTAATCCTTTTTTCCTAGCCCCCTAACATGGTACTGGACATAATCCTCAAAAAACATCTTTGAATAAAGAAATTAATGAATAGATGGAGAATGTAAGAACCAGAGAGGCATTTGTCCGAGGTGAAAGCTGCCCAGCTGGGAAGTGGCAGGAAAGAGCCTGGGGTCTGCGCTTCCTCACTTCCGGCTCAGCGTTCCTTCCTCCAAATCACGTAGTGGAACAAGTGGAGGAAATTGCCAGAAGAGCAAGGTAACCAGGGACGGTGCTGAGTGGACTCCCCAGTTCCCTAGGAAACCTTCATTATGGTCAGCACAAAGATCATGCTCTTTTAAAATGAAGGAATCATTATCAGTCTTACCAAACTGCTTCTTAAGGGCTTTGCATTCGAACAGAAAAGGCATCATTGTCTTCTTGGGGTTTTATTTTTCTCCTCGAAAAAAGAAATCATTAAAGATAAAAAATTAGAAACCTTCTCTCTGGACCTGAATAATCATGGGGAAATTTGGAATTTGTATTTATTCTGTAATAAAATAAGAAATGATTGCTTTTTCAAGACTGTCTGATCCAGTTGTTACCGAGTTTGAGCTCACGCCACTTGCTGCACGACGTGCCAATAAGACGAGGTGTTGGGACAAAAGGAAAGCAACTTTATTCAGAAAGCCAGCAGACTGAGACGACGGCGGACTCACGACTTCAAGCACCATCTTAACTCAGAGTTGATTTCAAGCTTCTTTTACCCTGAGGACAGGGGAGGCGTGGGGGGTGCAGGAGAGGGCTGAGCTCAGGAGACAGACGGCAGACATCGGGGACCCCACAAGGGTCCAAGGAGAGTTGTGAGACGCCTTGTCCTTGACCAGTTGACTCTTGTCGACAGAGGCTTGGTCACGATGTTCCTATACATCTTTGACAAAACAATGGTATTTTCGTACGTGTTTCCTTATTTCCTCCAGGGAGGCAGACTTTGTGTAGGGGCGTATTTGCAGAAATCTCAAGCCGGAAGCAAAATCCCTTTTGATGATTAACAAGCCTGCACGCAGGGCTGCTGGGGGCTGAGCAGAGGCTTTTGGCCCAAATATTAGGGCAGCAAAGGAGACAGAGAGTATGATGGCAGACATACCAAGCTTTTTTCACCCTTTTATACAGTGATTGCCAACCTTTTTCAGTAAAACTATTTTTACAGATACAATATTACACAGAATTCCAACTTATAAAAGTGTGAAGCAGGATATATGTTAGTTACACATAGTATGCTCTAATAAAACATATAATCAATGTAGTTTTAAAATGCGATTTACAAACCAAAGTGGAAATGACAGACTAGAACTGAAAGCTTTATATCTTGCGTATATCAGGTGGGGTTGGAGTTTCATGTGCCTACAATTTCATGCTGATCTCAGCAATCAAGTATTTCTGCATTTTTAGTTGCAAAGTGTTGAGAAAGTCTTGGTTCATGCATAATGATTGCAACTAATGAAAAGATTTTTAAAAAATTCACCTTGCAGTCCAAGGATATTTAGTTAATAGAGATGTCAGGAGATATTATATTTTCAGATTTGCTGAAAACTAATCAAGCTTTAGGAAGGCAAGTGGACGTGTGATGTTGCCCTAGAACTTGGTGTGTGGCAGAGTTGTCTGGCTCTCTCCACTCCCTCTTCTGGAGTAATGAGTCAGAGCTGGGCATTGCTTAACAGGGCTGCTGTTTCCCAGCCCCCTACTCTAGCCCCCCTCCACCCTGGCAGGTAGGTGTGGTCAAGTGACCAAGAGTACCCCGTCCCTCAAGATGGGAGTGGAAACGATAGGGGTGTGGATCCTAAAGACCGCATTTGTGCCTCCCCCATATTTTCTTCCTCCTTCTGAAAGATGGAACTAAAGTGTAAAAGCAATTCAACTTCCACTTAGCCAGTAAGACACGAGGTTATGGGGGGACCCCAAGGAACAGACACACCTAGGGACCTGGAACATTCATCTGGAACTGGTAAGTTCCTGATAGTTTCCAATAATTAATGATGTTTTGGATGAGATTGGTGGTGGTACAAATGTGATTTTTTAAAATATTGTATGAAATGTGTTAACATTAAAAAAATCTACATGACTCAGCAAACCACTACTTTTCAAATAGTTAAAGAATGTCACATAATTATGCATAGATCAAAGATGCATTCAAACAGATTTTAACATAGCAGAGTCCCCAAAGTTCATTGATAATCATTTCAGATTCCACATTGCAAGTAACATGTAAGAAATTTCCACTTCGATATAGGGTCAAAAATGAATTCCACAGTTCTCTGAAAACACTATCCAAATACTTGCCCTTTTCCGATCAAGTGTCTGTGCGAGGCCAGATTTTCTTTACATACTTCAACTAAAAGATGTATTTCATAGATTAGCCAGACATTAAAGATTTTCCAAAATATAAAACAATGACACCCTTCTATTGTTTTTTTAAGTTTTGGAAAATGATTTTTCTTAAAGGTGTGCTATGTGCTTAACTGTTACTTTTATATACATGAGTAAATATATTTTTTCCTGTTTTTCAATTGCTTTATATGGATTATAAGCATATAATCTGCTTTAATCTCTTTGAGGGCTTCAACAATTTTAAGTGTGAAGACTGTGACAGGCCATTCCAGCACCTCCTCATACTCAGCACACGCGTGCAGACGCCCTTCCCCCACATCGATCAAACTGTTGAAGTGCATGTTATCTACATGATCATTTAAAAAGGGCAGTGGTCTGATGGAAACGACTTTGTTGTATTTCCTAAGAGGCCCACTGGAACCGACATTGTTCCATTTGAACTTCATCTTGTACCAACGGAGTGAGGCTGGGAGAGGCTGGTGACTGGCCCCCAGGTCACAGTCAAGCAGCGGAGCTGGAGGGGCATCTAAGGCGCCGACATGTCCAGCTTTCCCACACTTGCCTCTCCAGGGCGCCTACCAAGTCTGTGCTTTGCCTGGAGCTGGCAGACGGGCAGCATAGGCAGGGCTAACATGCACTGTGTTAACATGTTAGCCCTAGGGCAGCCCCCCAGGAATGCTTACACTGAGGGAGGTCCCGTCTGGACACAGCTCCTCCTAAGTCCAACAACTTGGGCTATTACTGGATCACTAGTCAACTGTAGGCTCACAAGCCTACCTGCACCCTTCTCTCCAGAGGTGACTTGTACTTCGATTTTGTTTTCTTTTTAAAGTTAACTTGGGAGTCCAAAGACCTCTCTTCTTGAAAGGAGTGGGGACCTTGAGTTCTGCTTTAAAAAGCCTCTAGTTATGAAGTTTAGGCAGCATTGGGAGGTGGCCCAGGGCTGGCTATTGAGCACCCCCACCTCCCCACCCTCCTAAACCCAAAAATCTTGGTTTATAATCCAAGCCTGTGGTCTTCTTTCATAAATGTGGTCACTCTATATGCACCTATTGTCAGTTTTCAATGTTTCGAAAACTTCCCCATGTATGCACATACAATTCCCATCTTAAAAATTTAGCATGCTCAAGGAAAATTATGCTAAGTGTCCAAAATAACCAAATAGCCTTTGGTCTGGCATGTTGAAAGTGTGGCATTTGCTGTATTTTAAAATCTTTATGGTAGGTTTTTTCCCCTTCAATTTAGATTTAAAAATGTCAAATATATCAGTCTTTTAGTTTTGTCATTCTTATTAGTGTTTGTGTGACTAAATTTCCCCAGGTGTTTTTAGTACTCTTACTTAAACTCCACTATTTAAAATTCAGAACTAGGATCTATTTTTAATCTAGTCTGGTGTAGGGACAAGATAAGAAATCCTATTTATTTCTTGATTACTACCCAGTTTTACCTTTGGTTTACTGAATAATTAGCTTCCCCAGATGTGAAAAGTAGCTTGTCCCCAGTCCGAACACTCAGGGATAAGCCCATCTCTGCACTTTGTGGTAGGTGGAGGCCCCAGCTTTAATTATAGCATTTCTTTTCCTTCTCAGCTTTTTGATAATGTAAGCAATATGAGACTTTCTGGAAGGGGGAAAAGTATTTAACAGGACTGTGAGTTTATAGACATCTTTACAATGTTGTCTTTCTAGTAAGATGAATCTTTCACAATTAATTTGGATGCTTAGGAAATTAGTTTTTAACATCTAAATGCATGTTACTGCTTACTTTTGAAGGCAATACCAGAAAAGTCACAGACTGCCTCAAGAACTTGAGCATCACATGGGATCTAGGAATCGTCAGGTCCAATGCTTTCAGCTTGCAAATAAACTTAGGCCCAGAGAAGGGTAGCAAGTGGCCCAGGTCACACAGCAATCTGGTAGTTGGGACAGAATGGGATCCAGGAGCCCTAGCCCAGCCCCTCCTTGGGCTTCTCTCCCACCACACACCAGTGGATCTGCAGTGAATCTAACAACTCTGGGTTCCTGAACCGACTCCCTCCACACTGAGGTTGCAGGCTGGTGAGGTGTGAGAGTGTCAGGCAGCTTCCCCGTCCCATGGCCCCTCGTGCCCCCATCACACAAAGGCAGCGATGCACAATGAAGAGAAAAGATATTTAATTATTTGTCGAGTCTCTTAAAGCGCTCAAAAGTATTTCCACAAGTGCAACGGGAGGGATTGCTCTCAGCCAACATTTACCAGTGATTCCGACACACACAAAAAAACTCCCAGTCACCATGCTTTATACTTACTTTTAATTTCTGCACTGGAAAATTAAAAGACGGTGACAATGATGACAGCTTATTTTACCGTGACTTCATTAATCTTTGCTCTTGGGGGGCAGAAGGGGCGAAGAAAGACAGGAACACATCAAAGCATGATGGTGAGGTGGTGGCAAGATGCCTTAACCTGGCTAACAAGGGCTCTAAACACCTGGGAACAGCACCCTGGACGCGCTAGCTTGTAAACACTGACAGTAAACGGTTGAGATACATTTAAAAAAAAGAATGAAAAAAAGAATTCCATGATTCCATTCTTAAAATTGAGCACAAAAACCGACAGTGAAATACAATTCATGTGCGTGTGCCCCATCTGCTCTGGAGGCGGCCATACGGCGCTGCACGCGCTCCAGGCGGGCAGCGTCTGGACACCCACCACCCTCCGGCTCTGAACTGCCGCGGCTGCGCCGCCTCTCCCATGCACAGCCGCTCTGCAGGCAGGGAAGGGGACCAGGCCTCTTGCAGGGCTGCAGAGCCACGGGGCGCAGTCTGTGTGCTCTCGAGGCTCCGCCTCTGGAATGTTCTGCACTTGGGCTGGGCTAGGTGGTGGATTTTAGTTAGGCTCCACACATTGTTTAAGCGCTTGCTTTATTTCTCATGTGCAAACCGTCACTGTCTAAAGCTTTCAGAAGGACGTGTACAGACACGAACACCCTGCAGAGAGACGGGGGCAATCATGAGGCCCCCTCCCTCCTGAGCCGGGTGGGGGTGCAGGGGCACGTTACAGGATATTTAGATGTGTTCTGCTGCGGTTAGACTCTAGTCCCTGATTCGGTCTGTCCAAAGGAGGGGTCCTCAGTAGGTGATTGTCCACTCTTTGACAGAGGCATCGTGGGAGGTCGTGACCAGCGTGTGCTCGTCCAGCCAGGCCAGGCTGCTGACATGGTGGAGTCGATGTGCATCTGGGGAGAGAGAACGGCTTTTACTGGAATACCGACTCCTGTTGCCACACACACCGCAGACTAGGAAGATGGGACAAGCGGTGCCCAATCCAAAGGACCCTGAAGACAGAACTCGGACTGCTGCTCATCAGAACCCTTTCCCTCTCTTGGGAGTCTGGTGGTGGGTGGCCGCAAGCCTCCTTCCCTGGCACTGCTGGCTGCTGGGGCTTAGTGGCATCCAGGACACTCGGACAGTCCTGATCAGCAAAAATGTCCCTTGGGAGGCAGAACTGCCTCTACTCCTGGGGTGGGGGTATCGATTTCTTTTTATGCATAAATTAATGAGACAATACACAAATTACAATGAATAAAAGGCCGAGGAACACAGGGTGGGGGCCCGCCTGACCTTCCCTCTGGAAGAGGTGCACTGGGGGCAACCGGATTCCGGTGGGTCTCATGCCCCCCATCTCCTCCCTGCCTGCTCAGGGTGGTCGCCCGCACCCCTGCCGTTCCCATGAAGCCAGGGGGAGCCCCAGGATGTCAGCCTGTGCCCCATCTAGGCTCTGGGGCCTAGAGGGTCCAGCGCCTTGCCCACATGACCACCCGCTTTCCAAGCAGAGAGCTTGTCCATGTGCACGCAGCAGCCTGACCTCAGGCTGACTGTGCCCGGGCACCTCCACCCACTGGTCTGCTGTGTCACGGCCTTTCACGTCTCACTACAGAAGTCACTTTCCTCGTAGGCCAGAGGGCTGTCTGGGCTTGTTCTGCCCACCTCTGGGCCGCCCTGGCCCTGTGCCTGTGGCGTGGGAGAGCTCTGGGGGGGCCTCAGACTTATCCTTCAGCAGGAAAGGGGCCTGCTTACATCTAACACAGAGGCTGCCTGCTGTGTAGGGAACGGATGAGGGGGCAGCACACTGCACACGAGGACTGGGGGACCCTTCAGGACAGAGAGGCAGTGGGAGGTGACACGGGGACAGGACACCCATCCTAGATCCTGGGGTCACGAGCCACGCGTGGCTAAAGAGCCCTGGGAGTGAGCTCCTGCCACATGTGGAAATGATGTGGTGGGTCAAATGTGGCCGGTGGAGAAATGCAAAGTCCCCCTGTGGCTCCCACTGTGCTTCTCTGCCTGTGAAGGGTGGACAGTGAGAACCTGGTCGTGCCTTTGGATTCAGGGGTGGGAGGAGGGGAAAGTGCTGGGGTCTGAATGGTTGTGTCCCCACCAGTTCTGAGGTCAGAACCCTAACGCCCCAGGTGAGGGCGTCTGAAGGTGGGGCCTGGGGTCAGCGCTCTTGTGAAAGGCCCCTCAGAGCCCCCTCGCCCCCCCCACGTGTGAGGGTGTGAGAAGTCTGTGACCTGGACCACTGCCTTCACCTGGCCCTGCTGGCGCCTCATCTTGGCCTTCAGCCTCCAGGATGGCAAGGAGCTGCTCAGTCTGTGGCAGTTATAAAAGTCCAAACGGACTAAAACAGAGATGTCAGGTGACCCCACGTGCAGAAGCATATGCCCTACATGGAGACCACCTACACTCTCCTGCTGGCATGCAAGCACCCTCAGTCCCTCTGTGTGTCTAGCAGGGGCCAGCAGAGCCTAATATTTGCTAGAGAGAATGAGGGCCATGCCTGTCTGGGGTCACCTCCCCAGAAGCACAGAAGGGACACTTGAGCTCTGGGACTGGTGCCTGGAGAGCTGAGGCAGGTATGAGAGTCACCTTGGATCTTGACCCTCGTCTCGGGGTCACTCAGCGTCCAGACGTACACCATCATGTCCATGCCACCAGAGGCAAAGTGCTCGTTGTCCGGTGACCAGGCCAGGCAGACAATCTTTGCATGGTGTCCATAAAAAACATTGTTCTCCTATAGTCACAGGGTGAAAACAGAGAGGGGGAAGGTCAGGGGTCAGGCCCACCCTCACAGTGACAGTGACCAGGGCTGACATTTACTAAGTGCTTTCTCTATGCCAGTCAATCTGAGCAACTCACTGGGTGCTTGTAAGAATCCCAGGTGCCTGACGCTCACACCTTTGAAGAACTTGAGGCCGAGAGGTGCAGCCCAAGGTCAAGCAGCAGCCATAATGCCCCAGGAGCCTCACTTGCCCCGAGTCACAGCATGGATCACATGCCGGGCGCAACCACTTGCCTTCAGAGCTCTCAGCCTGGGGGGACAGAGCTCCAGGATTGTGTGGGATGTGAGGAGGCTGGCCTGCCTCTCTCCACACACCCACTTTTGAGTCATCCAAAGCGTGTGGACTAGAGCCCAAGGTGGGCCTGGTTGGACCTGCAGGCACATGAGGTGCATCCCCGAGAGCCACAGGCTTTATGCCACTTTTAAAGCATATCTCAGCCTCAAAGCATCACCTTACCAGGGATGAGGGGTTAATAGTTCCCTGACACTAGGAATGCTTTTTCTTCAGAGCATTCAGTTTTGCTCTTAATCCCTAGAAACCGTCAACCACATTTTCTTTGTCAACTTTGCCTATTCAGCCTTGCAGATTATGGACTACTTATTAGCATGCCTTAAAGATGTCTGTGAATGCAAATGAGGTCACTTAATGTGATGCGTGCAAATCCGATGACCGTGTAGGAAGGAGGCAGAAAAACCTTGGGGAGGCAGGTGTTCTCTGTGATAATGGAGGTCTGGGGTATAGGTGTACTCACGCGCCAAGTGTGGACCTGCATTCAAGCGTGCCTTTCATCATATGTAAATTTTACAGCAAAACATAAAACTAAGAAAATGTTCAACTCTAGTTATCAAGCTGAAGTATTTATGGGGAGATGTACAGATGCTGGTAATTTACTTTAAATGCACCAAAACCTAAGATTACTGGATGGATAGGTAACATGACAGTAAAATATTAATGGTGGCATCTAGGTGTAGCTCTGCTATAGATTTCAACAGCATCCTGAGAAGTGCCAGGCGTGGGGGGAGGTGGGCGCGGTGGACACCCCCCACCTGCCCTGTGCTGCCTACTCCAGTCACACCAGAAGTGACTGCGTCCTCCAAGGCTCTTGTGAACCTAACACTCAAGCCCCTCACACGTACAGTCCCCTCGGCTGTCCTCCCACGCCAGCTCTGCACGGAGTGGAATGAGCTTCCAGGTGCCTCTGCACTGGCCTCCCGCTGCCCTGCACCTGCCTCGAGGCGCCACTGGCCTAACAGTCCTCCTTTACAGGGTTGTAAACAGCAGTAAGACTCAGAAAAATCTGTTTTAAGTGCTTTAACAAAGGAGAACAGTAAGTTCCTAGAGGCCAGGAAGTCACTTAACCAGTCCATGCAGGGGAACCAATTGGCCTGTGGGCACAGCAACCTGGGGGCTGCCCAGGTCCCTCTGGGCAACTATGTTCCCTCTCACCAGCAAGACCAAAGCTCCCGGAGGTCAGGGCGTCTCCTTGTCTCAGACAGTCACACTCTGAGAGCAACAAAGCCACGGCCCCCGCCTGCCATCTGCACTGCCCAGGGTGCGGACAGAGCAGCCGGTCCACCACTCACCGAGTAGCCATCAGCAACGCTGAAGACAGTGACCACTTTGCTGGCGTCGCACACGGCAAGGAAGGCGCCATCGTGGGAATACGCCACATCGGTCACGGGACCCTTGGCCTCCAGGAGCTTGCTCTCGTCTTTCAGTGAGGTGCCCAGGATGGAGTACAGGCGGACATTCCCGTCCTGCAGGGGACACAGGGGAGTGAGCCATGCTCCCAACACCCTCCTTTTTGGAGGGAGGGGCTGGGTATCCGTGAGAAGTGGCTCTTCAATTCCGACCCCTTCCACCAGACGAGTGGCTCCCTCTTCCTAAGACCCTACAGCAGCTCTCCTATGTGGGGAGCGCAGGGAGGCTGGGCAGTCTGAGGGGGCCGCCATGGAGCGGCCGAGGGAGGCTTTTGCTGGGGTGGCAGGATGCACCCAACTGGCTCCCAGAGGCCCAGTCCCCCACTTACCCCAATTCTGACGAGACAGCCTCTCACTTACACAGCTTGTGTCACCCCAAAACTGCCCAGATACCCTCCCGCAGAGGGCATGGGGGGTGGGGGCCTTACCGCACCCCCAACAGCCACCGTTTCACCGCTGGGGTGCACAGCCACGACTTCAGGCTCATAGCCGGGGTTCTCGATGCTGAAGCATTTCCTCTGATCCTTCAGCAGGACGATCTAGGAAACACGCAGCCAGCCAGTCAGAGCCACAGGGCCGTGGGACAAATTGCAGCCCTGCGCTGGGCTCCCTCCCAAGCCTTGCTGGAGGCGGGGCAGTGTGGGGGCCGCTGCACTCGTTCAGTTCAGCCGCAGCTCCGTGGCCCTGAGGACAGCCACGGTCTTAGTACTGCAGTGAATATTGGCTGTTATCACCGTCACGGGCTGCTGCTGTCACTAGCGGCACCGACTTCTTGGGAAGCCACTGGGCATCTGAACTTCAGCTCCTCCCACTGCATAAGGAGCACGACACATGAGCTTTGCTGAACAGAGCTCTCCTGAGGTTCAGGAGGACGGAAGCGTGCGGCAGTGACGAGGCTCTAAGCAACACTGGACATGACACGACGTGCAGACTCGGGGTTCTGGCTTCCCAGTCCCGGGAACACCTTCACAGCTCCTCCCAACTGCAGAGCGTGTCCCTCCCGATGTGGGTCGCAGCATGCCTCCCACAGCCTGGGAGATAGGGCAGCGTCCCACCTGACCGAGAGGCTGGGCCCAGGCGCTGACTCCAGCCGCTCCATGACTCTCTGCTGCCCTCCCTTCCCTCCCTCCCTGGGCTCGACTGGCCCCAGGAAGTGGGAAGACAAGGGGGCAGGGCTCATAGCAAGGGGGCCTGGAGGCACCATGCTGCCCCTCTCCTGCGCTCCACCCGATCCAGGCCCTGCCACGGTCCCTTACTACGCTGGCTGGGGCAGGACAGAGTGCTGGGGCCCAGGCCCTACTGAAGGGCTCTGGAGACAAGACTGGGGTGGGGCTTGATCCTGACAGCCACCTCCTGCCTTTGGGGACAACGCGGAGTGGCCTGCCTCAGCCTCCGAGACATAAGAACCCAGAGGTGCCCAGAGGTCATAAAGGTAGACTGGATGCTTAGGGTGCCTAATACACCTAATAAAGCAGCAGAAGCAGCTGAAGCCCCCTGAGGGGCGCCATCCTTGCTAGAGCTACACGCACTGTGTCCCCACAAGACGGCAGGTCACCTCCCAGTTGTTCCGAGAACGGGGTACAGTGTCTGCCACATGCCCAAGGCCACACAGCACCCACGTCCCCAGCCACCACACTGTATCTCCTACCGTCTGATGCACATAGCAGATGTCTCTCCCCCAGTGGGGACCCTCTGTGGCCCCTGCCTCACTTGCTCCCTACTGTCCCCCTTAATTCTAACTTGCTGAGCTGTTTCCAGACAGTGTGGCCTAGATTTGACAGCTCTGGCTTTATCCACTGTACCCCTGCCCAAGCTACCAGCTGTCCCATGAGTGGCAGGCCACCCTCCTCCGCCTCCAGGGGCTTCTGCTTCCACGTGCATTGTAGGGTAAGGGACGTTGGAAGGGGACCAGGAGATGGGCAGCAGCACTCTCATTACATCTACTACTGAAAACAGCCCTTGAGAAACATTCACCTGTCATCTCAAGAAATGGACTTTCCTGACAGGTACTAGGGGACTGGGGACATAAGTTTGCCCAGATTTGCCTAAGGGGTGAAGCTTGAAGCCAGGTATTTCCTGACCTAAAATCTCAGGCCCCTTCCAGCTACTGACCCTCTGGCCTGCAATGGGGAGCTCTACAGAAGCTTCTGCCTGGAACGGAGTCACGGCCACCCTGGAGGTCCTGGGAGCAATGGCACATCACAGAACAATCCTGCACACCTGACCGCAAGGGTCCAGGACTCCCACTCAGGCCAGCCCTGGGCACACACGTGGCACCTGCCAGCCTACCCTCAAGCTGACCCCGCCCCCACCACCCGAACTTCGGGTAAGCCCCGAGACCAGCCTCAGATGTGGGACTGACATGAGCCCACTCCAGACAGAAACTGAAGCCCAGACACGTGGAGCTCTGCCCTGGCAGGCAGCCGGGGAGGCCTAGTCAGTCGCCAAGCTCTGGGAAGGCCATGTGGTCCGACAGCAGCTGGGAAAGAGGCCATTCCCCTTCTAGAACGTGGCCTTCCAGTGCCCCCACTCCACTAATGTGCTCCAAGCACATCCCTCCTGTACCCCACCGACGAGCTGGGCTGCTGCAGTAACTGCTTGGCAGGAAGTCTGCGTTATCTGGGACACAGAACTCTGCTGTCCCTGAGGCAATTAAGCTCACAGAACAGAGCCGGGCAGCGGGCCTGAGCGCAGCTTTCTTTAGCAGTTTGTTACTCCTGCCAGCAGGGACTCAGCCACACCTGCCTCTCTGATCTATACGCTGGGGTGCCCAGGTCTGCTGGCAGACCTCTGCCACAGAGCACACTCCTGCATGAGGTGGGTCAGCCTGGGATCTCAGCCAAGGGTGCTGCACTGCAGAAATCCCAAAAGAAAAGGTGCAGAGGGGAACCTCACTGTCTTGAGAACCAAACTCTGTCCTGGCCCAGGGGTCACCTGCCATACCGGGGCCTGGGGCAGCTGGGCAGCTCTCTTGACGACTGTGTGCCTCAGCCTCCTGGTTTAGGAGCGAACTGCATGGTGCAAGGAGGCTGACACATCCTTTCTGATGCTCCTGTGAGCTGCTAGGGGTGAGAAGCTCAAGCCCAGAGAAAGAGGAGAATGAGTGAAGTCACACAGCCCCACAGCCCAGGGCTGGGCTGGGAACAAGAGTGGAGACAGAGCTGCAGGACTCATGGGTCCATGGACATGCAGGGTGTCTGACGTCCATGCTCAAGCCCCAGCTCTGCCCCAAAGCTGCAGACCTCAGCCAGCACTTTTGCTGCTATGCCTCCGTTTCCCCACCCGTCAGGTGGGGCTGGTGCCATGCCTGGCTGACGGCACTGTGAAGTGGGTGGGGGTCGAGTGAGGGAAGCACGTGAAGCCCTCATCACAACACAGTGCCCAACAGAAATGCCTGTCACAGCTCCTGTCGCAGGGACACAGACACCACAGGGGCAGCTCCACCCAGCTCTCCCAGCCCGGGTGGGAATGTACCTGCCCGATGCACACGACCACGGCATAGCCTCCGGGGCCGACAGCCACGCACTTTGGTTGGACATCCAGTTTCACGACGCCCTGTCCACTACCGGGGAGAAGGGAAACGTTACACTGGCTTGGGCTCAGTGCAGGTCTGAGGCATGCTGACGGGAAGCCCACGTGATGCAGGGCTCAGGACACCCTCCTGCCACCCAGAGAGGTGCAGCTCACTAACCTGGAGCAAAGGAAACGACTCTGCCTCTGCGGGTGAGATCAGAAACCCCAGTGGGGGCTGGGGGCGAGAGGAAGGGAAGGGAGGAACTCCGAGGGCAGCTGACGTGTGGGGAGTCCCCGCCACCCCACGGACACTGCATGTTACCATTAGCAAACATTATCCCAGCTCTGATGACTGTCAGTCCGAGACACGGGCACCCAACTGAGCGTGACACCGGTCACCTGGGCCTGCCCGTCAGGGTGGAGCGCCTGCCAGGTACCTGAGGCCTCAAGGACCCTCTCCATGGTCTGAGGCAGACCCCACTGTCACCTTCCTTTACTGGTAAGGCAGAAAGAGGAGGGGGTAGGGGGCTGGGGCTGGGGCCTGTCCCCCTGGCTCCCCAGCCAGGGCCCACACCTGATCATGGTCTGTGCAGGCCACCTGGACCCTAACTCACACCTGGCCCAGGCCCTGCATGGGGTGGAAGGGTGCTCAAGGGGGGCGAGAGTAGCAGAGGGAATGTCATCGGTCAGCAGCCACTGCCGACAAAGGGCCTGTGGGCAGAGAGGCGTTCTGGCCGGCCTGCGTCTGGCTGCCTCACCTGTAGTCCCTCAGCGTCAGGTTGGTGTACCGCACTGTGTCATCCATGCTGCAGCTCACCAGCTGCCCAGCGCTGTCCACGGTCATCCTGGACACTTGGTTCGTGTGGCCTTTCCCAGCAAAGGAGTCGTTCTCCCCAGTCTCTGAATCCCAGTAATGTGGGGCAGGGGTTAAGGCAAAGCCTGACCTCTAGGACGTGGCGTAGGTCCCACTGGGGAGCCGCCCCTCGTCCCGGGAGCAAGTTAGGGACGGGACGGCGAGCACAGGGCCTGAGGGTAACTCCCCATTCACGGCCAAGGCTGAACTTCAGACAGTAGGCGTGCGTCCAACTACAGGTTGGTGGGCCACTCCTACCATGCGGAGATATAAACAGAGCAGGGAGCCGCCCGTAACATGCTGCCCGAGGCCAGCAGGGTCGGTTGGTCATGCGGACATGGTATGGTCAGCGGAGTGAACAGATCATGCGTCTGTAGTGCGCCCCCGCGAGGAAGGAACAGCCTCTCAGAGAGGGGCCTCCTTGTTGGGGCTGAGCCAGCACCTCGCCTGTTCTTTTTGTACCTGCTGCCGAGCTTGTGACCAGCAGGAGGCTGGCTGGCTGAGCCCGCTGCTCAGCTGCTGGCTGCCTGGTGCCACCGGTAAGGCCCAGGGCCAACCTACCTTGCAGGGCTGGTTGTGGACTGAGAGCTCCAGCTGCCCAGGTGTGCAGTGTGTATTGAGGTTTTTCATTTACGACAACAAACAAGACTCATTTCAGATGAAGATTAGTGGTCCCTGTAGGAGGCTACATGTCCACTCTCACTGACACACTGCAATGGCAACTTCAGCCATCAGTACCAAAATACTTGTCAAGCATCAGAGGCTAACATCATAACCCGCCGGGGCTGGGGACAAGCAGGGAGACGAGGGGGCGGCAGCCTCGGGGCCGGGGAAGCCTTTCCCTGCATCTCTTGTGCAAACTGCCACACCATGCAGAGACGAAGCAGGTCTGTGGAAGCAGGAAAATATGGGGCTCCTGGACAGCCCTTCCTGGGGGTCGGGCAGCACACAGGATGGGAAGCAGGTGACCCAAGGGCAGGTCCTCCTCACGGTGCCACTGCTCCCATGCAGGGGCAGAACAAACCACCAGACCCACCACAGGCACCCTAAATGGGACAGTCCTGGGAGGCGGGGCCAGCCCCAGGCCACAAACGCTGGGGAGTCCCAAGGGCTGCCACACGTACACCACCTGGAAATATCCTGGAGGGACTGCAAAGAGCCCCCCCGGGAGAGGACGGCTGGATCCAGCCCCAGTGATGACTGTATAGGAGGCGCATTAAGTGATCTGAGCTTTGGTTTCCCCAGTTTTAAAACAAGAGGACTATTGACAGGCTCTATTTCCTTTTGAGTTCCAGGATGTATGATTCTACTGCTTGTGACAGGGATACAGATGGCACTGGTGTCATGTACAGGGGAGAAGTAGCTTGAGTCCAGTTCAGCAACCACTCCAGGCTGCACAGAGCAGAGACCCCTCAGGTCAAGGCCACGGCCCAGATCCGGAGGCCCCCAGTGCGGACATGGGTACATCTCAGCGGCCAGGGCTGCTCACAGCCCCGCTGCGGCCACCTGGCCTCTGCTCCCTGGGCAGGAAACCCTCGCCTTGCCTGCCAGCAGCACTGGAGACAGCTCTGTGAGTCAAAGGATATTAATGTGTCCATCGTGGCTCCCAGAGTAGATGTAGGACTTGCCTCCATTTTTATGCACCGTCAGACACTGGATTGATTTGCTGTGACCCTGTGGAGGAGACAGACAGGGCAGGGTGAGCTGGGGACATGCCTTCCTGCTCCTGCCACTTGCCGCCTGCCCTCAATACCACAGCTGACGTGTCCTGGGCCCATAGCCCTGTGCCCGAAAATGCCTTGCAGGAGCCACGGTCAGCTTTCCCCAGAAGACCACCTGACAAACCCCCCATCCACAGCCTCTCCCCGAGGAATGTATCTCCAACCAAGGCCAAGGACAGGATCTCATCAAAGCACAGGAGCTGAGCACCCAGATGGTGCAGACTACGCCCTGGAGCACCCCAAAGGGTAAATGCTTCTCATACTGGCACGGATGAGGATGAGCCTCAACAGACACAAAACAGCAAAATTGGGGTCATCTCAGGGGAAGCAGGTGGGGAGACCTCCAGGCCCCCCGACAGTCACATGTGCTGCTGATAGTTTATTAACTAGAACCGTAACTCAAGCCCTGACTTGTGAAGTTTCCTTTCTCCAAATGCCTGTCAAGAGTTCAGCTGACTGAAAACTCTGATCCCCCAATTCCTGCTGGCCCCCACCCCCCTGAATGGTACAGAAGCTTCTGATACAACAGACATTTGTGGCGAGGGCACCACTCTACCTACCCTGTAACTGCTCCTGGGAGGGAACTAGCCAGCTGAGCAGGGACTGACCCTGGCTCCTGCTGGAGGCAGGCGGCTCTGTGCTCCATCAGCAGTGTTCCACTACCGGGCAGCACAATGCCCACATGGGCTTTCTCCCAGGAGCTTCCCCCATGTGGCCTGCAGCTTCAGGGAAGGGCCACTGCACCCTCAGGGCACCGGAGAACCCGGGAACAGACACACAGAGGCACTTCGCCCTTGGTCTCCTGCCAGCCAGAGTCCGGCCTGGAGGTCTCTCCACCTGCTACCTTAAAGCATGGTCCCCACACAAGCATCAGTCTCACTGCGGGTCTTGCTCTACACAGCCTGGGGACTTGGGACTTGACCTTAATGACACGACTGCTGACCTATGCACGTCCCTGCCTGGTGCAGCAGCCTCACCTGGGAACCTGGGGAGAAATTCGAGCTCCCACACACCTCATGAAGTCCACAGGGGATGATGCTGTGAGCACTGGGGATATGGCCCAGCCACCCTGCTTCAACACGCTGGCCCTCTGCTGACTGACGGGCCCTGGAGCTTGAGAACACCACTGCAGCTGCACAGCCCTATCCCAGCCGGGAGCCGCCCCTACAGGCTGTCACTGAGCCCTCTAGGGCCGGCCAGCACTGAGCCCTTTTGGGAAACTCTCAGGTCATTTGAATGTGCACCTAAGTGGAGAACCACCATTCTAACTCCAGCCTTCCCTTGCGCCCATGCACGTGGCTTAGGAACCTCTGCGGTCCAAGATCAGCACGAAACAGCCTGGGGATTCACACACGTGTGATAAGAAAGCAGAGCGAGTTTTTTCTCCAACTGTAAAAGGCCACAGACTCCCCGAGCTGAGTTGGGGATAGAATAGGAGCCCAGCACGTGGGGCCAGAGCTGTTTGCAACAGTGACATGAGCAGAAAAGTTAGGCCCAGGCCTTCCTGGCCCCCAGGGTACCAACAGACTTGGGGAGATACCAGGACGGCCCCCTGGGACACTGTGGGGCAGCCCAGGGAGGATGCTGTTTTGGGCAGAGTGGGGCTGACAGTCATGCCTGGATCTCTTTAACACCTTCTCTCCATCACACTCAGACACCCAGGGAGGTGACTGTCCTGGCGCTCAATCCCTGCCCGCCTCTTCCCCAGCCAGGCTGCACACACCTTCGTTTTAAATGCATCACCCTGGGCCAGCAGCCCATCGAGGAGGCCCCAGCGCCCTGTCCTCAGGACCAAATCAAAGAAGCTTCTGTGGACCAGGTGGCAAGGGGCCGGCAGTGAGGGCCCGTGTGTTTCCCAGCCTTGAAATCATGGCTCAGTCAGGGGTCACCCCTGGGGCTGCCAGAGCAGCGTGAGCCCAGTCCCGAGCTCCCACCTGGGACACTGCCTCTACCACGGGAGGCCGCGGCGGGCAGCCCGCACGGCCCGTTTCCCCAGGAGCTCCAAGCTCCTGCTCTGGCTGCCAGGCCTCCTGAGACGTCCACATCACCAGGGCTGACAGAGGGAGGCCGCACGACCCACCCACAGGGGCACCCAGGGCAGCCTCTGCTGACCAGCTGGCCCCAGAGCCTACTGGTGACGGGGCCCTGCCAGCCCTCCACTGCTCCGTTGCCAGAACTCCAGGCTGGGCCCTTGAGGCCCCTGACATCAGGCCCACCTGGTACCCTAACCGCACGTCCTCCCCACTGCCGTCTCTGCCCCAACCACACAGAACCCAAGGCCCCTACACCCTTTCTGCGGTCCAGCCCCAAGGCCGCTGGTCCTCCTCGAGCTTTCTGCAGGTTCCCACTCCGCGGTGATGCCCCACCTGCCTTGCCTTGGGGCTCAGCACCTTACAGCCCGTGGACTCCTAAGGGAGGCCACTCCCCTCAGGACGTAATGACCCGACGCAGGACAGGAGCCAATGACCTGAGCACCCAGGCCCCAGGTGTCCAGCTCTTACTGCAGCCCAAGAGGAACTCAGCACCTGGCCTTCCACCTCTGTTAAACTGGCATCCTGAGAGCAACAAGCGCCCTGCCATCCTGCCAAGGCCCGAGGGCTTCCTCCCCTTTGCAGCTGGTGCACAGCTCTCCTCCTGCCAGCCCCTAAAGGCAGAGCCACTACCCAGGGCAGCCTTACCTTGATGACCCGCAGGGGTTTGCTGGGGTTGTTTCTGTCCAGGTAATTGATGTACCCGGACAGGGACACGCTGAGGAGGTGGTCCTTCTGCCACAAGCAGCCCAGCTGCTGGTCCAGAACGTTGGAGCCCATGGTAAACGTGTCAACGACAGAGTTCACATTGACATCCCAAATTTTAGAGGTTTTGTCTCCGGAAGCAGAAAGCAAATGGGCGCTATCAGGACTCCAACTAATCTACTCAAACAAAACAGGAGTGTGAGAGAATTGTAGAGTGGGAGGCGACCTCAGAGAGCAGCCTGCCCGCAGCCCTCCTCCTCAGCAGGGAGAAGCCAAGCCGGGGGGAGGACACACCCACGTGAGGACGGGACTAGTATTCAGGCCTTCTGATCCGGCCCCGGGCCTCTCCAGGCCACGTCACCCTTCCTGCGTGACCCTGACCTGTGCACCATGGCACCTGCTCTACACCCCTCACTGCAAGCGTCCCCTTGAGACCGTGCACTGATGTCCTCACGCCGCGGACCACGCCCATACTCACAGCATAAATCCCTCCATCGTGAGCCTTGCTTCCTCCCAGGGCGCACACTTTCTCTCCTGTCTTCCCGTCATAGATGTGTATCTTTCAAGAAATAAAACATGTGGATCATATGTGTACATGAGAGCACATGCTCAGAAGTCAGCTCTTCCTTTCATGGCTCCATCGAGGGCTTGCTCCCCCAACTCTCAACAAAGTAACTAATCCAAAGCAGAGTGCTAATCGAGTTCCGAGCTCCATTTGAAAGGAGAGAGATGAACGGTATGTCCACCATGGCTGGGTGACACAGCCGGGTGACCGGGTACCTCCAGGAGATGGGGAGGAGGAGGCTAAGTTCCTCATGTTCACACCGGCCTCGGTGAGTCCCTGTGCCTCCGACAGCTGGGAAGCAGCCAGAGGAGCCCCCACTGCCCGGGCCCCACTGCCCTCACCTGCCCATCAGCGCTGGCCGTGGCAAATCTGTTCCCGTCGGGAGAGAATCGCACACAGTTGACAAAGCGGGTGTGATCCTGGGGGAAAATGTACAGTTATCCACCTGATGACAGGAGATTCTGGCAAGTTCTCTACGAAATACGCAGCCTCCTACAAACATCATCTACCACCACTACAGTGAACCAGCAGTCCACAGGAAGACTTCAGAGCCTAAACCGAACACGTCCAGCCGCTCCTGACTCACTGGGAGGAGTGCTCAGCACGCCTGCCTGGGTCCCAGGCCCATCTGTCTGGCCCCCAGGGGCAATTCCCTTACCTGAGGAAGTGAACCCATTCTTTCCTCCACCAGGAAGGGTTTACGTAAGAAAATGGTCCTTTAAATCCCTAAATGCCAAGGTGCCAGCACAATGCCTGCAGCCCCCCTCCCCCCACCTGCAAGCACACGTTAGGTTTTAACTATTAACTCTCCGGAAGGCAGGAAGGGCTCACCGCCTCCACTGGTACAACCCTAACCTCCAGGAAAGGCTACCCGACTCACTGCTTCCCACAGCCCCTCTTGAGGCAAAGCAGTGACTGAATTTCAATACACAGCTACTTGTGTAGCCAGATCCGCACACGTCCATTATAGACTGGATTGTGCCCTGGAAAGATAGATTGAATTCCCAGTACCTGTGAATGGAGACCTTATGCATAAATAGGGTTGTCGAAAATGTAATCAAGGTAAGGTGAGGTTACTAGGGTGGCCCTCGACCAGAGACCAGTGTCCCGTAAGAGGCAGATTTGGACACAGAGAGAAGACCACATGAAGATGGAAAGAAGCTCCATAAGCCAAGGAACACCTGGGGGATCAGCGTCTGGAAGACACAAAGAATCAGAGGAAGCACAGCCTGCTGAAACCTTGGTCCCAGACCTCTGGCTTCCAGAAATGAGAATCAATTCCTGCTGTTTAAGCTACTGTTTGCAAACCTCGTTACAACAGCCCCAGGAAACTTACCTGGGTAGCAAATATTTCAAAGCTCATGTAATAACCCTTCAGGAACTATGTGCCCATTGCACTAGGGCAAGAGGAAATCCAGGAATGATAAACTGGGTGCCAAGGTTTCCCAACAGGGGAGCCATAGAACCAGGGTTGGAAGGAATCCAAGTGAGCGCAAAGCCCAGCTGGGAGGGTCTGCAGAACAGACTCCAGAAAGCCCCTCCCAGCCCGGTGATACTCAAAGCCTGAGACCCTCCACGTGTCCTCGCGGGGACAGGGGCTCATCACTGCTGATCCAAGCCTGGTCTCCACCTGCGGGTGAACAGCCCGCCTTCCAGCCTGTTTCAGTGAGCGGGGTCGCAGCCCCATGACTGCTCTCTGACAGCAGAGCTGATTCCCTCGGGGTCACCACCAGCACCCCTGATGGAGGCGGGACGGCAGCAGGGAGCCATCTCCGTCTAGACCTGGGGTCTGGCTCTGTGAACGATGGGACACAGTCCCCCTTACTTACACTGGCTGGCCAGCCCTCTGCCACCACCTGCCTCCAGTGCTGAGGCTCCAGCACATGCACAGCAGGCGCCATGGCAAGTACCCAAGGTGACAAGGTCCCCAAGGCATCCCAGAAGTCAGGATGAAACTGAGGCCACAGACGCAGTCTCGCTCTGGTGCCCGGAGCACCTCTCCTGCTCCAGCTTGGCTATGCTTCGCCTTCTGGTTTCTCCTGCACGCCTGCCCTGTCTGTGCTGAGGCCACCCTCTCCTGCTCTCAGGTTCGTGTTCCTCGTTTTCCAGCAGGTGGGCCCCTCAGTGACCCAAGGGAAACCAGTCAACGTTCAAGCTGGGATGTTCCAGCCCTCCTGCCGTCACCACCATCACACAGCCACCACCCCCTCCCATGAGGGGCCTGGGCAGCCCCAGGCTCGCTTTGTGCAGGAGACAGCCAGGCCCAGAGACACTGGGTTGGAAGAGCCAGGGCTTCTGTTTCTTGTCCAGAGCTCTCAACTGGTCTGTGTCGGCTGTGGCCCATTTGGCACAGAGCCATCCAGGGGTCAGATCCGTAGCTTCTCAGGCTGACAGCCACCTGCCTGAGGCTGGAAAGGAGCTGGTCGCACAGTGAAGGCCCATGCTCCTCGGTCCTGTTGGCACTCTGGGGTCCAAGACCCCCTGCCCTGTTCTAAGTGTCCACTACAAATGGAGACCTCGGGGCTAAGGGGTGCAATGGTGAATGCCAATTTCCCTATACTGGGTGAAGGAACATAGGGTGAATTAGAGAAATAGCCTCCATCCAATTCCAACTCATGATGGACTGCAGTTTCACTGGTTCCTGGAGGGATAGCAGAGCACCGGCCTGTCCCGTCCCTGGCTCACAAGAAGTCAGGACGACCTCCCTAAGGGCAGCCCTGCCTGACTGCCCCAGCTCTCTGGATCCAGGTGCTCGGTCACAGCACTCAGCATCCCTGCGTCATGGGGGACATCACCTGTGCTGATGGAGTGCGGCCCATCTCCTGTCCCAGGCCCCAGGCCTCGGCAGGCCTGTGTAAGGGGCCCAGCTGGCCTGGGTGCAGTGAAGGCCGGGCGGAGCAGACATCCCAAGTATAGGACTGTGTGGACTCTGGGCCTCTCCAGGCCCCCGCTTCAGCAAACCCTCCCTGTCAGCTTTTCCTGAGATCCAGCCAAGAGTCCAAACCAGCAGGAGATTGACGTCTGCTCCTGAAATAGCCCATTGAAGGGGGAGGAAGCAGTGGCGAGCCCATCAGCCAAAAAAGTGAGGGCTATAAATAGTCTGGTCCACAGGAGGTGAGGCAGAGGGCAGGAGAGGGCAGGTTGGGGCAACAGCATGGGGCTTGCAGAGGGGTGGGCTTCTGTGGCTGCCAACCCAAATGCCACCTACTGGGCTGGCAGTCCCAGGCCGTGTCCCTCCCCGACCAACCTAGAGGGGTCACAGCACCATCCCACAGGCCTAGGTTCTCACTTGGGCTGTTCCCTGGACTGGGGAGGGTTCCCTGGTGTGGGGAGGGTGCGCTGGGTGCCTGTCCTCTCGGCCTGCCCCTCAGTCCTGGTCAACACTCCTTGGAGCTCTGGAGGGGACCACATCAGATCTTCCCAGGCCCCCTATTGTATCTCCCGCTCTACCACCTGCCCATCATTACTTGCCTCGCTATAATTAACCCCCATATCATCACTGCCTCCCCATCACCTCCCACCGCTGAGGACACGGAGGCACGCGGCAGTTAGGTGACTGCGCCCAGGTCACTGGTGGGGCAAAGCACCACTGGGCTTGGGGGCTGGACTACAGCGGGTGCCGGTGGGTGGCCGGTAACCCTCCCCAGCCCTACTGGCCTCAGCCACCCTGTGTGTGTCACTGCTGCTGACCCTCATGCTCAAATGCCCTGCACTCACCTGCCTGGTCCCTCATCATGAGCTTGTGGAGGGACAAACAGGCTCAGAAGCCTGTGCCCACCACCTCCTCTGCCCTGGCACAGCACGGGCGTCCACAGTGGGCCTCTTGAACGTGGGTCTCCACCGTGACCCGGACATTGCCCCTCTTCAGTCCAGGAGGCCTGGCTTCCTCCTTGCTCTGTGAAGGCTCCTAGGAAGGTACTGTGGGGGCAGCCCACCTCCTCCCCACCACCCGGCCCACTCCAGCTCAGCTGAGAAGCACAAAGGTGCCCCTGCCTCTCCTATCACCCTGGACAGGCCTGCCCAGTCCCGGGTCCCTCTGGAGAAGAGCACCAGACGATGGGACAACAGCTTGTTCCAACATGTGGGTCAAGTGCGCTTGGCCAGGTCTCCCTTGCCGCCAGCCCCGGTTCGCTCAGGAGTGGGCAGGGCAGGAGAGGCGGAGAGAAGGCCTGCCCCGCTGACCACCCAGCGGGACCACCTCTGGGGCACACAGCTCACTGAAGAGCAAGACCAGCCCACGGGGCGATGGCTAAGGATGAGGCCCTGCCTGGCACCCAGAACAAAGCAGGCACCCCACACACCTGAAGACCTGCAACGTCTGCTCTCTGCTGCCAAGTGTCAGGAAACGTGAAAGAGGGAAAAACAATAACCAGGAAACCTCTCACACATTAGAGCTTCAATGTTACGTAACTATCTAGCAAAGCAATACTTCTCACAATACCTGGAGTGAGGTCTCTAGCTCAACTCCCCTACACTGTATAGAAGAGAGTGGGACCCCTGCTTAGAGCTCCCTCCGTGTGGAAGAGCACACAGGTGGCAGGGGAAAGCCCATCTGGGGCACCAGCCATACCACACAGCACACCTGGGCTGACACCGGGGTCCCCTCGGCCACAGGTATGCACCACCTGCTTTCAGAGCCCAGATGTGGCAGGAAGTTTCCAGTTCCAGATCACATGGCCACAGCCTGGACAAGCAGGCTTGGGACAGGTGAGTGTCCTGACATTTGTTGCTGTAAGCAGTCACTTCATCAAACACAAGCCATCCCAGCATCCATGCACCTGGATCCCGGGACGTGGACACAGCTCCCAGGGTGCCTGCTTCACAAGGGGAGTCCGTGGTCATCCCAGGCAGAGGAAGTGGAAGGCCAGAGGGGTACAGCAACCACCCAAGGCCCCAGTGGGCAAGGTGCACAGACCAGGCAGGCTGCCAGGGAGGCTCAGAGGGACCCTTGCCACAATCCAGACACAGCTACGACAGGGACGTGCTCAGGAGGAAATCCCCACCGCAGAGGTAGGAGCGGGCAAGGCCCGCCTCCCCAGTCCCTTAGGTCCTCTGAGGGAACCCGAACCTTCGTCCACAGAGTGCCAGCACCAGAGGTGGAGACCGTGCTCCCAAAGCCTCCGTCCCACACCCTGGCTCCTGGGATCCTGGGACGCCGCCTACCCGGGTCGCCCGCTGCATCCAGTGCGGGCAGGCCAGGGCCTGTCAGCATCCTCCATCCTGTGTCCCGGCAGCCTCCTAAGCCCACTTCGGGGTTGGGTGAACGAGGACTAACACTGGGCCGAGGGCCTGCACGGGAGCCAGCAGCCCGGCTGGCCCGTGACTCAATTCCTGAGGAGCGAGGGGCTACGCGAGCAGCTGGATGAAGCCAGCCATCTTATGACCAGAAGGAAAAGCGATGGGCCCCACGCTCAGCCCGGCAGGATGGACGAGCGGCCCAGCCTGACCGAGGGCGCGTGCTCACTCTGGTCTGCCTCAAACACTGCTTTCACGGGCCCTCGGCGCCGGCGTCACCAGGTTTCTCTCAGCAAGTACTCAGGCTCTGAACTTGCTCCTTTTCAAGGCAGCAACCTGAACTCGACCCCTCTGTGCTCCTCACCTTTGCCCCATGGCCTTCACCGGGGTCAAGGGGAAGGTAGCAGGACGCTGGGTTGAGGGCCCAGGGCGCGTACACACAGAAATGGTCAACACCTTGCAAGGCATTTGGGAGGCTGTGGGGCCCCAAGTGCCCTCCTCATTCTTTCTACTAGAGGCCACCCGAGCCTGTCAGGACCTTGCCGGAGTCCCCAGCAGCGAGAGCTAACATCCAGTTCCCCGGAAGGCCAGAGGCAGGACTAGCCTGAGAGTCACAGTCAGCTGGCTGCAGTGCTGGGCTGTCACCCAGTGTCCCCATTCTTGGCTTGCAGTCCCTCTGACCTGCTAGGTCCTTATGTGGGACCTCTGGTGGGCTCCACAGAGGACTTGAAGAGAAGCTGCACGGCCCACCTTAGACCTAGGTGCCACTGGGCACACGTTTCTGATCCTAAGCCCCAGGGAGAGGGCTGTTCTCAGGCTAGAAAAGGAAACAGAAAGAGACCATCCAGCCAAGCGGCTTGAATGGGTGCAAGGAGAAGGGTGGTAAGGGCTCAGGCTCCAGCAGACGCTGGGCTCAAATCCTGGCCCCACTTCCTGCCACTGTGCTGCTCTGTGCCATGCCAGATTAACTGACAGCTGCAAAGAGGAAACAATCCCTCCCCGGACAGGGAAAGGAGCCCCACCCACCCACGGCAGAGCGTGGGGGTGCTGGGCATGGGACCACGGCCAGCTTCGCAGAGTAGGTAGGACAGCCTCCTGTTGCCACAGAAACCTCATCTCCTCTTTCTCCCTCTCTGGGGTGCAGGGCAGACATTATCTGACTCAGCATTCATTACTCACCCAGTTGTATTCTGCAGTACCTCTACCTCCAACTAGGAAACACTGACCTTGAACCTCAGCCTTCGACAAAGCCCCACCCCACCACTCAGGCAGCAGCCACAGGAGACAGCGTCTGAGAACAGCAGGGTGATGGGAAGGGACCCCCAACGGGCGCAGAAAGCCTCATTGTGCTTGCCACCAGCCAGCCACGCTCTGCCCCATGGCCGCAGGATGAAATGAAGCCCATTTCATGACCAACAGGGAGCCCTGGGAGAGCCTTGCTGTATCTGTGCCAAGATCCGGGTCTGGAAATTCTTCCCACGCCCAAGTCCTGCCCTGTGGGGACCCGCTGAGGAAGCACCATGGGCCTTTCCGGGCTACGCCCTGCCTGCTTGTGCATGACTCACTGCGTCCAGTCACTGGAGGTAGCAGGAGTCCTCACTGAGCCGCCTGAAGGACACCATCTCATTTAGTTCTCAGTGGGCCCGTGGGCAGCTTGGCACAGTTCAAGTTCATGGCTAACATGCTCTGATGCGGTGCCCCTCACACCCACCTTGCAGATGGGAAAAGTGAGGCCTAGAGACGTTCAGGCCCTTGTCCCGGTCAGGGAGCATGTGCAGAGCTGGGACTCAAACCCCAAAGCCATTCACACCTGGAGCCTAAGGCATTGCACCGGGGCGCTGGCAGCATGCACCTCCTACAGGCAAAGCACCCTTGCTGTTGGAGTGTCCCTGCCCTCATTTCTCCTGGGGAGGCGCATGAGGAGATAAATCCACGTGTCCCAGAAAGCTCACCTCTTCTGCCACTCTGACGGCTCAGCAGGTCTCAACTAGTGCTACTAGAGGCTGGCTGACACAGGCCTGCGATACACCTTCTAACAAGGCACCTCCAGGCCAGGTTGCCTGCCTGGCCACATGACAGAGATCTGCCCTACACGCAACCCCAGAAACGCACACACCCCTGGGTGAGGCCCCTGCCCGCTGGAGCTGCCCATGCAGCCTGAGCACGGGCTAGGAGGCCTGGGAGGCCGGTGCTCCCACCTCCAGGGTAAGACCCCAGTAAACCCACCTGCCACCCACGTAATACAGCATTAATGGTGTGTGCCCGTGACCCTGCCATCAGCGTCTACAGGCCTAGACTCTGCTGGTTTCACATACAAACCAGAGTTCACCCTACTCTACCCTAGAGAGAAGTCCACTTACGCCAATTGTGAACTTGAACTTGAATGGTGGCCCTTCAAAGAACGCGGCGCAGTTATCGTCACTGCCAGTCACCAGCCGGTATGGCCGGCTCTGCTTGATGTCCACGCTGTTAATGACTTTGTTGTGTCCCGTGATCTCTCCCACAGAAGAGCCACTGTCCCACAGGAAGACAGCTCCAAACCTTTACCCAACGAGAGGGACCACAGAAGAAAAATCAGTCCTGGGGAAGGTCAGTGGGGTGCAGGCAGCTGAGCTGCTGACGCTCAGAGGAGGGCAGTGCTGCTGGCAGCGTGGCCCCAGCTCAGGGCTGTGCTTCGGACCCACAGTTAGAAGGGAAAACACCGAAGGCACTAGGACTCTGACTCCAAGCAGTGCTTATCGAAAGAATCTGAGAAACAAGTGTCTTGAGAAGGCCTGGATGTCCGTGTCTCCAAAGCCCAGTACCAACAAGCCTCCCATGTGGAAGGGGCACTGCCAAGGCACTTGCTCCGTGTTTCCTAACAGCTTTACTGGGCAGGGCCAAGGGATGTACTAGCTACTCTCCCCTACTTGCTCTTGACCAGCACTCCATGAAAATGTACTGTTTTGGTGACTACTTGTGACCGAATGAAAACGGAACTGTTAAGACCAACAGGAATAACTTGGAAAACTATGTAAAAATTTATATCCACTGGAACATGCATTAAAAACAGCCTCTGAGTAGGGGAAACAAACAGGTGCCAAGTTTAGGTGCCTGAAGGCAGTTTATGGTGCCTTGGAGGGAACCATGACTGAACGTGGGGTAAGAAAGAAAGCTCCCGCGGTTCTGACCCTGCTGGCCACTAGCCCTGAGAGTGCAGCAGCCACCTCTGGGCACCCACTTGCCCCTCCTTCCTTAGTAGGGGGACCGCCTCAGGAGACCGTCCAACTAGGGGCCCTTGCAGCTCAGTGTGGCCATGTGGTGGCTGCTGGGAGGGACCCCTGTGATGCTCTAAGAGCTGATCTCTGTCACCTTCTCTTCCTGCTGCCAGGAATGTGGGCATGACAGCTGGAGTTCCAGGAAGGGAAGGGCCAAGGATGTCAGACAGAGAGGGTGCCTGGCCCTGACACCAACCTGGAGGGGTTTGCCCACTGTCACGGGGAGTTTGCCTTTATGTGTTGAAGCCAACTGGAGGAGCCAGTGGCTGGGGCTAGTCGCACACTCATGAAGGGGACCGGAGGGGACTCCACACACAGCAGTCCAAGCGGCACAGATGCCACTGCACCCCTCCCACCAGGCTCCCAGGAAAAAGGCAGAGCCAGGGACACGGGCAGGTAGGGGCCAAGGCCGGAGACTCACTTCTCCCTTCCTTCCCCGACCACTGCGATCCTCTTACTGTCTTCTGTCCAAGCAATATCCTTGATCTTCCCAGCAAAAGGCTGATACTCATACTTCAGGAGATGCTCCTTCTGTGTGGTATCCCAGATTCGCAGCTTCCCAGATACATCTGTGGACACAAGAGTGTGATGAGCACCACGTTCAGAGGGCCAGGGCTGAGTAGACACAAGGCCCTACACGCTGGCTGGAGCAGGAGGCCCAGCTCGGGGCAGGGATGTGGTGCCAGGTGGATGACACCCAGGCCTTAGCTGGTCAGACCTGCTGCCTCCAAGAGGCCCACTCCTGGCTCTGTGCACCTCTCCAACTACCACCTGCACTGCAAGCCCTGGGTAGGCACTAGAAGGCCCAGGGACACATGGTGACAAACCCCAAGGCATTTTACAGCTCTATTTTCCTCCTGGGTGATCTGAACAGTGTATGGGCCTCAGGCAACTTTCCTAACACTCAGGGAACTGAACTTCTTCACTTGCAAAACGTGACAATGCTAGTGACATGCCTCTCCCACGCTGTGGCTCTGGCCTGGCAAAAGCTGCAACTTGCATGCACCCCCTCCCTACCTGGGGTGTATGCACCCTGGCAGCAATCCAGGCAATCAGCAGCCCACCCCTGCTGCAGGAAGTGGCACACAGGCAGAACTCCACACCAGCCTCTCCTTACTAGTGTTTGCAGTGGCCTAGTAATAAAGCCATGGGGGCCATACCCCTCCCCACCCTGCTGCCATCCTGTCACCAAGGTCCAGGCACCAACCCTGATACATCCCTTCCCAAAAGAGCGGGAATTCCCAAATAAGCAGGAAAACGGAGCCATTCACATTGACTCTTGAGGCCTGAACGGCCCTGTTTGGGCTCCCAGTGTGAGCATGGGGTTTCTAGGACCTGCAGGGACACTTGAGTGCCTATCACAAACTCGGCAGCCTTGCTGGTTCAGGCTGAGCCTAGGGAGCACCAAGAGCAGGCGCCTACAGCCGCCCCAGATGTGTCTCTGCCCCATGCAGGCCTCCAGGAATACAGCCACGAATACCAGAGCAGGAATGACCTGCCACCTTGTAGGCCACTGTGCAGGATGACGAGCTAGTGCGTGACGTCCGGGGCTGGCCCAGGTGGTGATGAACAACGCCCTGTGGGAACACTCCCTTATAGCCAACAACTGGGGAAGACAGGAGATGCCAACATCCCCATGGGGACACTAACAGGGGGAAGGTCCGGAAGGACAGGGAGGCACACTGTCCAAGGTGAGCTCCGATCACAGAGCTAGTTCAGTCCTGCCGCTAAACCAGCAGGCCAGTGGGGAGGGAAAAGGAAGTGGCAGAGGCCAGTACAATCAGAAAAGGAGCACTCTGCACGCAAGGACAGGCCCCCCTAGTCTCACCCCCACTCATCTACGTGTGCACACGGGCTGTGTGGGTCCCCGTGCTCAGGCCAGTCTGGGGGCTGGGCGTTCACCACCTGCAGCCCAAGGTGAGGTGTCACTCCCCGTTAGACAGCACGGACTAGACACCTACTGGGCTAAGGCTTCATTCCAGGCCTGGAATCAGTTGTTTTCCCAGTGCCTCCCCACCCTGGCTATTAGCCTCCTCCACTGGGCCCTGCTTGTCCAGTAATTCTTTTCAGAAGCAGCAGGGACCAGCGAGATAATGGGGCTGGGAGGTCAGGTGCTCAGGCCGGGGGCAGCCTGATAAATTCCCAAGATGCTGACCAAGTGCCAAGGGTGCCCAGCCCCGTGCTAGGTGCTGGGGGCACAGCAAAGACAAGCACTTGCCAAGGCAGCCAGGCCTTGAGGAAGGGCAGAACATGAACACACTTCACTCACGTGGTGGGAGCAGGAAGAAAAGCCCCCCAGTGCAAGAGGACAGAGTGACTATGGGGAAGGGACTCCCTCCCTCCAGTCTCCTTCCACCACAAGCATGTCTCCCCTCCAGACAAGAAGCTGCATCGTGGGGAGTGACTGTCCTTGGTGAGCCAGCCCCAAATGGGTGCTGGGCACACAAGAGCAGCTTAGCCACAGCGGGGTGGCGAGCGCAGTGGGAGCAGGGCCACTGTCCAGGTCCCACAGAGGCCTCTGCAGCCTCTCTCCCCCCACATTCCTGACCCGAGCCACCCTTACCCCCTTCTCCTCTGGGCCCAGGGAGCCCGCCACCCTGCAGCTTGGGTGCGCTGCCCCGAGGGTTACCTGGGAATCACTGAGCACAGGGTGCAGACTGCCAATGTCAGAATTACCTATGGAAGATGCTGCTAGACAAGAGGACTTAGGCCTGCCCTGGAATGGCTCCGTGCTGAGACCACAGCACCGCGGATACCCTGAGGGCAGACACGGACCATCCTGATGAGGCCAGGGCCAGCCCCTGGTGTGAACTCCTCACACAGCGAGCCCTCCGGAAGGCTCAATCATTCAGCGGACATGGACCAGAGACGCAGAGGGATCTAAAGATGCTGCAGAGCTGGAACCCTGTCTGGGAGTGAGCTGCAGGATTCCTGAAGTACTGGGACCCCACTTAGCACCAAGCACAGCACCTTCTCAAGCCTCCCTCCCCCTCATCCAGAGCCTGCACACCAAGCTCTTTCTAGCCCAGGGCCCTAACCTCTGCAGTAAATGTCTCCTTGCCTTTACTCAGTGCCAAGGACCAGTGAGCTAGAAATGCAAGCTGTGATCTCCACCCAAGAACACCTAGACCTGCACGCAGCCCAAATCTCCCTCCTCCGACACTAAATCAGAGTGCACTCACAACAGTAAATGTCACACTGACCCTTTACTTATATAGATTGTCCTTTGTGACAGTCTCTGTGTGAGGCTTCCTCATTGATTCTGTATTAGCATCTGAAGGCCACCGATTTCTGTCTGGCTGAATGCCCTGCCTGGGGGCCCCAGGGTGGGCAGGCCTGGGACCACAGTGACTCAGGACCTGGGCTGTGGCTCAAAGGCCGGGGCAGGGGAGCCGCACAGGCAGGCAGCAGGCGCCCTCATCAGTCACACTTCTCTCCTGAGGAGACAATTTTCTAAGGCACCAGGGCCAAATCTCGGGGCTTTAAATGAAGAAGTACTTTGCTGGCAAGCAGGGCTGGAAAAAAAAAAATTGCAGGGCTGAAATAAACCACAGGATATTAATCAGGGCAAGTTTTACAGATGGAGTCAGAGTAGGTGTAAACACAAAAATCATCAAGTGTCCATTGTGTGCCAGACTCCTGGCCAAGCCCTTCACACACAACCCCGGTGGGCCGGATTAGCTGCCGTCAACCAGCATGCCGTCCCCTGGCGCCCCAGTTTCAGTGACCCACCAGCGTGAGAGCCATCCTAGGCATTTATACACTTTTGCCACATGGGGTCCTCTTTCCCGGTTTACAGAAGAGAAAATTAAGGCCCAGGAAGGGGAGGTGCTCAAGGAAGGCTGCAGAGCTGGTAAGGAGTGGACCCTTCAGGGACAGTCCCCACACTGCCTGCAATGCAGGGAATGGGAGCAGTGCAGACAAACGGCCACCAGGATGAATCCTGGCCACTCCCATCAGCAGCCCATTCATCTGTGCGGCTCTCCAGGGAGGCTGGCAAAGCCCCCATCGGCTCAGCATCCAGTCACCTGCCCAGCTCTCCTGGAGCTGGAGCCAGAGCCCGGCTGGGTACAGGCAAGGCAGCTTGTAGGGATCTGCTGTGCAGCTGAGTGAATGAATGGGTGGGAGATGGGGGGTGAGGCCCCCCTAACGTCTGTGCCTCCCTTTCTCATCTGTCATGTTTGTAAGAGATCTACCTCAAAGAATTAGGTGAACAGAGCCGCCTACAAGTGAAGGTCTTTATGCCCCTCCTCCTGCCCAGCCAATCTCTGAGCCACACAAAAGCCCAGTGGAGGGAGCAAAAGGCCCAGACCGCCAATGAAATGGGGCCACTGCCTGAGGCCCTGTCATGCTGGGGACTGGACACACACACACACACACACACACCATTCATTGTGACGCATTTGCCCACAAAGGCCTCTGGGCAACCCATGAGCATTTCTGCTGACCCTGGAGTTGGAACCTGCTGGATCAGTGCCAATTACATCCTGGAGGCTTTTTAGTGGCTCATCCGTTTATGGCCAGCCCCAGCTGAAAACTCATCACACTGGTTCCACCTGCCTCACTCCTTACCTCCACCCCCACCCTAAGCCACACCACTCACAAGCCATGCATGCATTCAGGTACCTCCAGAGGCGATGTAGAATCCGCTGGGTGCGTACTTGGCCACCACCACCTGATGGGCGTGCTCCGTGTAGATGTCAGCAAGGGCTGGGTTCTGCAGGGAGGAGAGCCGGAGTGAACAGAGCAATGCAGAAGCCGTCAGACTGCTTTCCCCTCTCGGAAATAACGGATTGAGGGTGGGGGTGGGGTGACATACACATAAACACTTAGGGTGAAACATCCATAAAGAAAATCCCTGAAAGTACCTACCTGTCTACACACGTCCTGCTGTATGCTTATCTTTGGGTGGCAGAAATCTAGGTCATTTTCATTCTTTCTCTTTAGTTTTAGATAATATGATTACAGAATGCAAGGTGATTGATTATCTTTGCTTTTCTGTGCTTACCAGAGAACAAATATGTACTTATGAAATAAAAGTTTAAGCAAGGAGAAATCTCTGGCTCTAATTTCGCTGTGATTTGCCGGTTACACCCGTGTTCCTCAAGCGAGCGGCTCTCCAGCTGTCCCGGGGCTGCTCTCCCTCCTTCGGAACCAGCTCTACCCAGGCTGCCAGGCAGTGTCAGCCCTGAACCAGAGCACGTCTTGGAGGGGGAGAACAGAGCAGGCATGCACCTGAGAGCCTCTCCTTATCATCTGGGAAGCAGGGATTCCCCACACCCTTGCACAGCACAAATAAAAGCTTGGCTGAACTCAGCAGCAAGTACGGGGCCAGCATTTGGCACCTGGAGCATCTTTACTACTCAGCAATAACGTTTTAATATATAATTTACTAAAAGTAGATCATGGCACCCACCCCCACATGCACAACCAAGAGGCCTCAGCAAACCTGAATCACACATACTGAGCTGTTCTCGATTTGTCTCCGGGGCCAAACTTTCTTTCAGGAGGGAGTAAAGACTCAGCCACTGAATCCCTCATACCTGCTGTCAGCTTTCTACGAACCCAGTGGTCTTTGAAAAGAGGCACTTCCCACAGGCCAGTGGCTGTGGACACATCAAGTCCTGTGAGGCTGCTCAGCCTTCTGGAAGCAGCTGCTGCAGGCTCAGCTAACCTGATGCCGCCCCTTCCTGACCTGGGAGCTTCCTCTCCCTACATCTCCTTATACCCTCGACAAAACCAGAGTGCACCCTGAATTCCAGCCCCGGCTCTCTAAGTGCTGTCCCCAGGCCAGTGACACCTGTCCCTGCAGCACCTACCTATCATGGGGCTGACTGAAGAGCCAGGGCCTGACAGGACCTCCTGTGACGCCTGTTCTCTCTTCCACGCTTCCCATGTCCCCACGGAACTTATGACACACTAGTCATCTCCTCCTTTTCTGCGATCTGCTTCACACGCATCTATCTTTTAAGCATCATGGCAGTTAGCAAATAACAGGTTCTCGATAAAAGTTTTTTGGAAAAAAAGCTCACATTGTCCTTCTCTTTCACCCGAGACTTGACGCTGAGCATTATGTGATGTGGCAGGCACTCAATACATGAGGTTCATAAATTAATCCACCTCAGGATAAACATTTGCTAATGAAATTAGAAACCTATCAAGTATCAAAACAGCATATACAAACAGCAAATGAACCCAGGAACAGGTGCTCAATGTCGTTGGCCTTTTGGGAAATGCAAATTAAAACTCTGACAAGATACCTCTACATACCTGCTAGCATCAATAAAAAGACTGATGTCATCAAATGTTGGCAAGGCCAGGGTTGGTTATTTATAAAGTCAAACATACACTCACCACACAAAAAAACAGTAATCCCACTGCTAGCTATTAATCCAAGAGTAAGAAAAGCGCACGTCCTCCAAGAGACCCAGGCATGAAGGCCCATGGACACTTTATTCCTGGCAGCCGGCCCCCAACCGGAACGACCCAGGCGTCTACCAGCAGGTGACTGGAGAACGCTGCTGCACTCCCCAGTGAGGATGGCCCACACTAATGAGAATGAGTGACTGACACGCTCCACAACACGGAGGAGCAGCAAAAGCAAAGACGACACTGTACTGCAGGACTCCTTTTCTATGAAATTCTAGAAAAGGCAAACCTCACACAGCAGGAAGCAGATGGGCCGCTCTAAAGCCGGGGGTGGAGAGAGCCGACTGACCACAAGCAGTTTAGAGGGCACTTTCTGAAATGACTGGAATGTTCTGTATCATGCCTGATGGTGGGTGTGGGGCTGTATGGATCTGTCAAGGTTCAAGTTGTGTACTTACAACAGATGAACCTCAGTGCATCTGAAATACACCTCAACAAAACTAGCAAGCCTGGCACGCATTAGATGTCTGCCAAATCCAACCCTTTCCTGCCAGGTCGAGTCCTTCCTACTTAGCATCCCCACAGGGAAAAGCTCCTCCCAAAGACACAGGCAGGTGGTCTGGGGACACCTGCTGCCACCGTATCCTTTTCAATGCTGACCAGGGGCCTCACACCCGGTACGGTGGGCACTGCCAGCCGACTTTACAGATGAGAAACCCACCCATGGGTAGTTGTGTGTCCAAGCTGGCACCCACGGTCCCACTGGGCACTGCTTTAAAGGGTGGGCTCCATGGGGCCTGAAGGAGGGGCACAAGATGAGTGTCAGCGGCCCTGGGAGGAAGATCAACCCCTACAGATTCCTTCCCTTAAACAGGCAGGGTGTTAAGGCAGAGCACATGGAACCCCAAGATCACCCCAGCAGGCTCAGCACCAGAATCCTGGGCCTGACCAGACATCACTCTGCACTCCAAACACAACGGGGCCAGTGAGCAGGGGACTCCCAGCCCAACACAATGACAGCATCTGAGTCAGCGTGCCCACCTCCTATCTGCCACACACAGGGAGGACGCTACCACAGGCAGAAGACACCTCCCTGTCCCCAGTGTGTCCCACCACAGGTCAGGCTCACTGCAGATCTACTGGGTCTGAGACCCCGGGACCCACTTGCCTGCCTCGCAGGGGGGCAGCTCTCCCCACCACCCCTCCTGTGGTCTCTGGAAGCAGAGCAGGACCTGGTGAGTTTATTGGGGGAAGGGCTAGGAACAGGGAAAGGGAGCCAGGGGAGGACAGAAAGCCCACTGGGGGACACCTGGAGCTGTGCCCCCCTCTCTTGGGGCCTCAGGAGACCATGTAGAGCAGGCCCTGTTATTGCCTACCCACAGCGTGTGGGGTCGGGGCGCCTCCTCTAGGACCCCCTTCCTAAGCTGCCATCAGAGCACGAGGACTTCAGGCAGAAACCAGAGGAAACCCTGGCGCTTGTGGCCCCATGGGCACTGAGGAGGTGTGGGCAAAGGCTGCAGGCCCACTGCAACCTGCTGTCACCCTGCCCTCCACCCAGGCCTGCCAGGCCCTGCCCATTCTTCCTCACCAGCTCTTGAACCCACCTCCACCTTCCACCACGCCCAGATGCCACCGGGTTCCTCCTGCCCCTCCTGGACACCAGGACGGTATCTTCTCAACTTATCTCTGCCTCCCATCAACCCACTTACCTCTGATCACCCCTTTCCCGTCTGGAATCCCCGACCTGACTCCCAACACACACTGGATTCCTGCTTCGGCCCCACTCAGGCCCACCTTCCTACTCCTCAGGTCTAGCCTGTGCCCTTCCCTGGCCAAGGCCCCTGCATGCCCTGGGCCCACACTGGGGCCACAACAGGAACTGCCCTCTCCGCCAGCACCCTTCCCACACGTGTGCCCTGCCGGCTTACGGACCAACACAGGGCCTGGCAGTGGGTGCTTGGCAATGTCACCAAGTGAGGAGTGGAGCTCAGTGAGACCCTGTGACAGGCCACAATACCACCCTCACAGAGGGCACAGACAGGGCAGTGGCCACCCTGTCACAGGTCTACAGACTCTGACCGTCTACAGGAGCAAGGTGAGGGCACTCTGGCCTCGTGGGAGCACTGGTTCAGGGCCCAGCGGTGTGTCTGAGCACCTTGACCCAGCCGCAGATGCTGAGGCAGGGGTCAGCGGTCACCACCCATTTACAGGAGAGGCTAAGTGACAGCCCAGGTCACAGGGCATGGCAGCTCCCGGCCCCCAGTGAACAGGATGGACTCAGGAGGGTCGGGAACCAAACACCGTTTAGGCTGTCACACAGTCCAGCAGGCGCCTCCCTGCTCTTCTGTAGCAGCTGATGGTTCCTGGATCCTCCAGAGAAGGCCTGGGCTTCCTCCAAACCCAGGCCGGGCAAAGTGGCCATGACCTTCTGGGAGGATTGTGTTTCTGAGTACTGGCTTTCTAAACACTCCTAGTTCCTGGAAGCAGTCACTGGTTAGCTGACCTGTGTGTTACTCACAATTTGCAGGGCCACTGTTCACTGGTGATCAAGGCCAAACTCGAAAATGCTACAGAGTAACCCAGCTGCAAACGAGCTACCAGACCTGGGTGCTTCCCAACCAGCAAGCGTGAGCCCACAGGCTAAGCCCCTGCCGCACTGCCCCAGAGAACGGTAAAGAACACATGAAGCAGGGCACATTCCTTCCTTTGGAGGGCCCCCCGCGCCTACTCTGGGCTAGCCTTGGGGACCAGTAGTAAGCCAGTGCTTCTTACAAATGGGACCAGCCACCTATGGTACAACCACCCTGCCCAGCCTTCAACCAGAGGACATCAGCAGACCAGGGACCCAAAGTCCATTTTTCTTTTAGGAGAACCAGGGGGAGAGGCTTTTACTGAGAGATACAGTGAGAGGACAGAGCTGCTGGCTCGCGCCAGGAGGGGACAAGAGAGCCCGTAGTGGTGCGTTGTCTAGGGGATTTATAGGCAGTTGAGGATTTTGGGGAACTGATAAAGGGCTTAGAGTGTGGACTTGTTAAAAGTGGTCAAAGGATGTTTATTCTTGATGAGACATTAAGTCCCTTTGAGCATGATGAAGTAAATCTTACATGATTACAAACGATTAGCATAATAAAAACATGGGCTACTTTCCTTTATCTGGGGAGTATCAACTCATCTCACTGAAGAATGACTCTAGAGCTTAATGCTTAACACAAGAGTTTGGTAGGGGGTTTCCTTGCATGTAGTTACACCGCTCTGACTGTAAATATCCTGCCTTGCTATTTCTAGAGGCCCTCACCCTACTCTGACTACATCCACAGTCCGTCTCATTCCCCCCTCTACAGACAGAGA